GCTGAGCCGACAAGAAGGTTTTTTAAAGGGACCTTTTTTAGGGTGGCGCCTGTGGCTCAAAGGAGTAGGGCGCCGCCCCATATACTGGAGGCGGCGGGTTCAAACCCAGCCCTGGCTCCAAACTGCAAAAAAAAAGGGACCTTTTTAAAAGGAACTAGGTAGTTGCTTTATATTCTATTCTCAGAATCAAATCCTGATTAACAAGGCAATTTCTGTTGAGCACATAGCTTATTCCCATAGGCACACAAACAGCTACAGACGGACAAGAGTGTGGCCAAGATCCATTTCTAAACTTTTCTCCTTTTCATGGTCTGTATGGGGCAATGACTTCTGGTACCTCTCCCTACAGTAAACGTGAGCAGCCAAATGTTTGCTTATGTAGGAAAAATAGACACCACCCCTCTACACATACTCTCAAAATTTTCACATGGTTTTAGCAAACCTTTCTTCTTAAAATTGAACTTGTTGAAGTATACCTTATACCAAAGAATAATCTTTAAAATCTACATCAATGTTCTCTATCTTGGTAGGGATTTATATTATGTAAGTGTAGGGTATACATTTGTTAAAACTCACTGAATGGAATAAAATAAAATTAAAAAATGTTAAAGGCAAAAACAGATCAGAAAATCCAGCATTAAACAAAAAGACCTACAGAAGAAATAAAATCATTGAGTGGTGCATGTAAGGTCTGTATATTTCAAGGTACATAAAATTTATCTCAGTGAAAAAAGAATTACAAACAAATATTGAACTCTAATAAAACAAATGTATAAGTAAAGGGTACTGATTCTGCAACTCTGAAATTCATAAAAAATAGACTGTTGGCCATATATGTATAAATAATAAAGCAAAATGGACCAATTATTACTGTCGAACCCAACTCTGATGTTCATTATCTATACTTATTATCAGAATGTGGGTAGAATTTTCCATATACACCCTTATAATTTTTCCTACAGCACATGATACAGTGCCAGTTTAATACAAATTGCTCACTGACTGATTTGAGATTCTTATTTTACAAAAAGGCAGAGCTTTCAGTCGCAAACACATATGTTATACTAATAACTTTCATGTTACAGTTTTCTTTTATTTAAAAGCTATCATTACATTATTATTACAATTGCTTATATAGAAATCTGTACTTTTCAAAGTCAGAGTTTCTAAAAAATAATTTTATGATCTCTTTTTATATTACATTTTTCTATAATGCTGGCAATGTAATTTCCTAATTGAGTTGTTTCATTTCTATGAGTCTTTCTATACATTACATAAAAATACATGGAGGCAGACACAAAAGACTCCCTTAATTAGAAAAGAATTAGGGCAGCGCCTGTGGCTCAGTGGGTAGGGTGCTGACCCCGTATACCAAGGGTGGCAGGTTCAAACCCAGCCCTGGCCAAACTCCAACAAAAAATAGCTGGGCATTGTGGTGGGTGCCTATAGTCCCAGCTACTTGGGAGGCTGAGGCAAGAGAAAGCCTAAGCCCAAGAGCAGGAGGTTGCTATGAGCTGATGCCATAGCACTCTAGGGAGGGGGATAAAGTGAAGACTCTTGTCTCAAAACGAAAAAAGAAAAGAAACTCCAAAATAAGTTCATTAGCCTCCAGTCCCTGAGCAAACCAAAATTAATAGGTATACAATAAAGTCTTTAGCCCAATGATCTCTGGAAAGAGTAGTAAATTTGTTTGAGATTATTTATTCTGTCAAAGTAAGGGCACTATAGAATTAAAGGCTAATTAATATTTAAATATGATATCTTAAATTGCAGTACGTGGGATCTTAGTTTCCTTCCTTATGTTTCAGAGTAAAGAGAGAATTGCTTAATAACAGTCAGATTTTATATTTTCGTCACATCCCAGGATTACATCTTAACACTATAATATTACAGTTTAAAATATAAAATTACAGTATAAGTCAATGTAGCTCTTTTACTTATAAAAACTACCCTCCGAGGAAAGCACCTGTGCAGTGAGGATAAACTATCTTCACAAAAGAATACAGAATTTTTTAAATGTACATATTTTTCTCAGGACATTAAAAATTATTACTGTTTCTCTTACTATATTATAATAATTTTGGTTCATAAACTTCTAAGGCTTTAAAGCCTGTACCAAATAAAACACTGAAACACTAAAATATGTTCTATGTTCTATAAATAAACATCCAATTTAAAATAAAAATTCAAAACTTAAGATAATAAGTTAAGGTGTTTTTTATAAAGGATGTAACACTGTCAAGTCACTTTAATGACTAAAAATTAACAATAACTGACTCATTTTCTAATATACCAAGTTTTTAAAATAAGAAATTAACTTTTTAATCGTCACTGTATTCTTCGGCTTAGTGACAAGACTAAAAATGTAAATTATCCTTACTAAATAAAGTAAAGGATCAAATCATTTGCCCTTGATAGGTAAAAGCCTGTTGTAAGCATCATGAACCTTTATGTTTAGATTGGTACACACCTGTGATACCATGAGAAGTACTGACTATATTTATGGAAGGCTGAAGGAAAGTCTAAGGGACTGGCCTCCAACTCTGGGAAGCAGTTTAAAACCGTCCAACCTGGAGGTGGGTTTACCATGGGCTTAATAGAGCTTAAACGTCAGTGGTCCTCACTTCCCATGGGTCCCCTTCAAAACCCTGGAAGACGAGCCCTCGTAATTTTGTCCTTATAATATCGTACTCTTTTTTTTACAGAGCTCTCTCCTAAGTTGTTTAAACTCCAGGGCCTATAAAATCTGATACTAGCCCTTTATAGTGGAAAAAAATTCAGATTTAGGAAAATTCTAGTGTTGAACAGAAAGCAAAGGAAAAAATCTGTCACTCACGGAAGGCAGAGTGCTGGCAGTCCCTTCACTAACATGTAGTAAGTATTAGATGCTACGCTGACATGTGACAGACAAAACCTAATTTGGAATATACTCACCGTCTATGGGCAATTTCACTAAACACGTAAACATCGGAATCTTTTCTTTTTTCAAAGTGACTCAACCATTAAGGGACCACTGAATTACAATCATACCTTACCCTGCTACTTAGTAGCTGGAAGATAAAAGGAGGTTTCAGTGCCTCATCTGCAGAACTGGGACAACAATTAACTGTACTTCAGAGGGCTGTGGCAAGGCCGAAAGACAGAGCAGGGCACCCAGCTCGCGGCGCTTTGTGAATATTAGTTTTTCTTTTTGATTTAGTAGAAGTCAGTGGGGTAACAGATACTTCTACTTTTTACAAACTTGTTTTCAACATTGCCAGAATGCATATTCCATAAGACAAAAGTGAACATGTAATGGAATTTCAACTTTACAAAAGATTTTAAACAGCCAAAAACAAAATATTCATTCAGAAAATTTTATCATAGCAGGGTAACCTTGACTCTTGCAGGACTATGCAACGTGAATTCTACATTCTTTAACCGTCTCCCCTTCTTGTTTGCTTTTTCCTTTCTCTCCAACATCTCTCAACTGCCCTGTATCTTCTAATATTTAATCCATCTGTTAAAAATAAGTTTGATATGGTACAGACTCTCTTATGAGAGTGTTTGTTACAGATTGCACAGGCTGGTGAACTCCTTTGCTTAGTTAACATGTTGATGTTACTAAGGTTGTAGGTGTAAACTCTAAAGAGGATACTTTGTTTTTATATGATATATAAGTTTAAATATACTTTTATGAACAAATGACAATAACAAAAGAAAAGGAGCACAGATAAAAACATGATCATT